GTTGTATTCAATATAAATCATACTCATAGCAGACCCATGGAAATGAATGTACCCAAGTTAGTCATGTCAATTAATTTCAATGGGTCAACCCAAGTAGAGCATAGTTGGATACAACCCTAAGAAAAGAAAACATTTTACCATTAACTTTTGGTAAACCATTTTCATACTGCCACCCCTTCCTCTCAACCAACAGTATTTTGTAATCCATTATGATCACATTTTACTATTCATCTAGTTAATTAGTCCTTTATAATTCATGGTGTTGATAGCTGGAATACTCAACAAAAGCATTTATTTATTTTTTTGGAAAAAAATACAATAAAACTTAATGGCGAACAAAATAGTGGAGAGAGTAAGAATTAAAACAAAAGCAGCATAATAATGTATAACATCACAAACTGCTGATTTATTTTTTAGAATTTCACCAATGGCCCCTTTTAAATGCTAAATCAAAGGCTGAACTGGTTAGGTCCATTATAAGTTATCATTATCAATTTTCTTAAAGCGATGAAAGCAAAGTATTTCATTGTGAAGCGCTATTGTGGCACCCAATCCTGTATGGGCAAGCCCCTGTAATTCCTCATTAAAGCTCCTCTCACATACACTGTGTTGTTTGTCAAGCTCAAACTGATTAATATTCAAAGAGAAGTCCTAAATATAGTAAACTGGAGAGCTAACCACAGCAAACTTTCTAGGTTATCATTACTATGAAACCAGCCAGCTGAAACATTTTTTAAGAATACAGACTGTATATGCTGTTTATTTTCTAGATTACTTGAGAAGCAGTTTTGCAACTTGAACTTCTAGAGAAAGGATTACCCAGGCTCTGCCTCAGCAATTCAAACTCCCAAAGTGGGAAGAAAGAAAGGGGGGGGGGAGTTTGCTTGCCTGAAATAACTTTTAAATGAAGACCCCTTTTTTTAGTTGCTTTTTTGTTATGTTGTGCATTGTACAGCCTAGCAATGATATTAGTTCTAGTGTGGGAAAATATTATAATTGAGATCTGGTAAGTTATTTGCAGACTTCAAGTTTTTCTTTACACTGTGCTGACATTTAGCATAGCCCTAGTGAGGAAAACAATACTGCCATTCATGGCTCTAGACGTAGGTTTCAATCGACTTAAGCGGGCACAATGAAACTTGGTCATTCACTGGTTACCCATATTGTGTTCTCAAATTTTCTCTCAGCAAAAGTATAATGACTCAGTATTGTATGGCCGCATAGACAAGGGCTCAGAACAAGAGACACTAGTTTTGTCTGACGGTGTGAGAAAGTCGTGAAGGGATCTTTTCTTCCAGATGGTGTTAAATTCAGCTGCCTTTTTAACATTGGCCTTGCAGAGCAATCTGGTGCTCTCTTTTCAAAAAAGAATGAGGCTGGTTCCCACTAGTTAACATGCATACTCACGCAAGCCTGCAACTTCACTCCCAACTGTTTTACAATGCAATGGTATGCTAAATAAATTTGATCTGGGCTCTTCCAGTGTTAAAGCTAGCCATCAAAGGCCTGCTCAGATTATATTTATACTTCTGTGGACTAAGCTTTATGTTTGCAGGCTATTTCAAGCTCTCAAAAGAAATATCACCTTACTGCCACAAAATCATTTTGACTGAAATATTGTAAATCACAAACCAAACTGAACTTTTCTCACAATTGTTATAGGTTGACAGTATGTGGAGTAAAAATAATAATGAATAAATGAACTTAACCTACTTGGTGTCAAATTGGTGGAAGAGAAATAATAAATAATAATAAAATAACATTAAAATGTATTTTATTGATTGATACTCATGTAACATTAGCAGGGTACAAAACAATTCTGATGTGACAATGGCTAACACAGAATTATATCATAAGGGGGGGGGATCCTTAGGTGCTTTCCTTAACAAATGTACAGAAAAGACCAAGAGGTAAATAAGATCTCATTTCACAAAGTAAAAGTAATTTCACTCCACTAGGTTTTTTGTTTTGTTTTTTTGTTTTTGCTAATCAAAAGATTTCCCCAGACAACATCTTGTTACCTTAATTGAACCTCTTTAAGAAAACTACACACTTTGTAATGTAAATGTTAATTGTAGTAGACAATGACCCTAGGTAAACAGCACCCCTGGACAAGCAGTAAAGAAGAGGGGGGAAGGCAGCAAGGCACTTAACAATGAGAGGCTGGTCACACAAACAGAACTTCCAAAGTAAATAAACAAGGGGACTGTTCATTGGTCACTAGAGTAGTAAACTCTGGCACGTGCACAGCAGCCAAAACGGCCCTTTTGTAAACAGTCTCGCCATCCAAAATTCAGTGCAAAGTACTGTAACAAGCTAAGCTCCTTAAAACTAAGCTCTTGCAAAATCATTTATGTCTGCAGGCCACAGTGCCTTACTTTAAAGCCACATCCTTGCTTTTATTTTATTTTTAAATGCCAAGTGCATGTCATTACTGGCTGCAAGTTTATATGCTGGGGCTTACTGCTGATTAAAAACACATAGGAATTTGCTATCACATGTGTTACACATGTACACACATATGCACAGGGTGTATTCTGGCCTAGGGTGGCTCTGAAGTTTATCAGAAATAAAGAGTCTGCTTTCCTATCTTGGGAGCATCCCAGGGGCAAAGACTGCACTTCCAAAACAAGCTGATTTAAATATAATTTCTTTTTTAAAAAAAAAACCAACAAAAATTGCAAAGTACAGTAATTAATATTAAAATTAAATATTGGGGAGGGGGGTGTTTGGTAGAGAGGGAGAGGATTTGCCCAGGAAATATATAAACACCTTGCTTCCCACCACTTTTGTTTTGTGAGCTTCACTGTAGAAAATTTCCATCTCAGAAGCAAAGCTACATTTGATTATGAGTAGCTGAAACAGTGGTTATAGAATTAACAGAAACAGACAGTCTGCAGCTACAGAACAGTTGGGGTCCCCACTTGGGAGCCTGCAGATGGCTGTGGGTGGGAAATGCCTCCACTTTCTTAAGGGATGGAGATGAGTCTGGTGTGGTGCACTTGATGTTTTTTTCATAGGCAACCCCCACAGGGCTGTCTGTCATAGGCTGCCGGGCCCATAGCTTTGCCACTTGCCCCCGAGCGTGGGAATGGGAGCGTCCAGCCGTTCACATCTCAGGCATTCCGTTTAACGGAATCAATTAGGCAAGACCAGACCCCTCAGATTCCCCACCCCCTTGCCTTCTCTCTCTCTCTCTCTTTTGGTCAGGTCTATATACGTCCTAATTATTTCAGTTTGAGATGCCTGAGCAGTTTCCTGGATAGATCTGATCATCCTTAAACAAGAAGAGAGCAGGCGCACACGTGGGTTTTGGCGTAAATGTCACTTTCATTTCTAATACTAGACGCAGAATAAGACACAGACTACTTTTTAACACTTTGACAAGGGCGGAGGCAGTCTCGTCTCCATCACGTTTTTCTGCTTCAGTAGCTTCCTCAAGGAAACCCTTTTGGAACAGAGAAGCATCTGTGCTTGCATTTTGAATAGAAGACTGGTCGGCTGGTGGATTCCCCCCCCCCCAATTTTTTTTAATAATAATAGTAATGGTAATAGTAATCAACCTTCAGCTTCCTCCTCCCCCCCTCCCAGTTTTGTGGAACTCTACCAGATCCTTGGTAGACCGAAATGATTAACCTAGCCTTATTCTTCAATCCAAATGTTTATTTTTTATTTTAGGCTTTGGCTTTCGTCTCTTGGAATAACAACATACCCAGCAACACTACACAACTTTTAAAAGTCTCACAGGCAGAGTTTGGCCCTACACACACACGCACACCCCCTCACACACCGCTTAAAAATAAATTATAAATACTTTAAAAGCACACAGGCCACGACATTATGCTTCCAAACACATGCTAATGGTTTCTCAATGTTTAGCAAAAGACTGCAGTCTTGTACACACTTACCCAGGAGTAAGTTTCATTGAACTCAATGGAACTTGCTTCTGAAGAAGCGTGCAACCGCTGGAAAACAATTACATCAGAACTTAAAGTATTATCTTAATCATCCCCCACCTCCCAGAACAGCAAAAACTTGCACATGCATTTGTTTACCATGAGCACCATATCCTCTTTGCAGCGTATGGTTTACTCTTCATCATCCTGTGCCTGTCATCTTGTACATGTATACATGTACAGATAGATTTGGCACTCCTATGTCACTGAATTTCATCCCCTCTCTCTCGCCTTGAGCTGTAGAAAAGGTGCCATTCAATAAGAATTCCTGACATGGCTGGGTCTGTCTCTTGCTGGAGTTTCTCGTCTCCTTGTGCAGCACGAAGATCATGAAGGAGTTTTTACTTTCGGTTATCTAGCTTTATGAAGACCAACACACTCATACAGCTAGATAACCAAAGATAACAACTCGCTTCCCTCATATGCTCTGAGGTCGACTGGAGGGTCTTTTCCGCCCCTCCTTCTCTAGAATCCAGATTGTTTCTGCAAATAGACTTCTCCAAGAACACCAGCCGTGCCTTAAAATATTCATCCTTTCAGCGCAATTGTCACCTGCTTCACAGTGTCTGGACTTGTGTGTGCTTCTAATACCACATCCCAAGTAGATCCGTCGCCTTCAAAGTTTTATTCCGAACTTTTCTTGTCTCTTTCTCTTTTACCCCCATCCTCTCTCTTTCTCCCTCCTTTAAAGCCAGCGATTTCCGGCAGCGATGGACCAACTATTCATCTGTTTAATATCAGAAAGTAAAACCAGCTATTAAGGTGCATCAAGCTATTAAGAGTGCGGAGCATCCATCCCTCCACAGGCCTCTATTTGCATTGTAAATTGCTTCATTCTCGCGAAAAGTCTTTAGCCTCTATAAAGATGTAAAGCCATCAGCAATTTCCAGCGCAGAGCAAGGAGGAAGCAGGGGGGTGGGGTGGGAGTGTCTCCCATTTCAGAAGAAATTGACAAGATGATGGTGGTGGTGGTGCGAGGATCCAGCTCTCCCTCCTGATCCCTTTTGCGGATTATGCATCAGAGCGCTCTTAAAAATTCTTATTTTAACCAAATGGTGGCAGCAAATATCTTGCGGGTTTTGAAGGGGAGGTGGGGGAGGAAGCAACCTGGCAGATCCACGATTTCTCAGGATTCCCAGAGCTGCTGCGCATGAGGAGCTCCAGGTCTTGCTGGCTGGCTGGCTGGCTGGCTTGCTTGCTGCTGCTGCGGCCCCCGGTCTGAAAGAAGGAGAAAAGGGCTATCATTGGAGGGCTTGCAGTGCCAAAAAATGTTGACCAGCCCGGCAAGGTCAGAGGTCCTGGACCGCGGGAGACCAAGGTAATGATGATGTCACGAGGAAGCTCAAGTACACCCGGTTATTGCCATGCATGAGCGATCAGCGATCTGCCCCCTCCGCGCCACGGGGAAGAGCGGCGGCGGCAGCAGCAGCGGCAGCAGCACCCTCGGAACACCATTCCTACTCTCCCAACCAGCACAGGATCGCCTTCTCTAGCGCTACCGGGAGGAGAGAGAGGGGGCGGGAAATATATATATATATATATATATTTATATATATATCGCGGCCTTTTACCTTCCCCGTTGCTAGCGCAGATCTCTCTAATATCCAAAGACTGGGAGGAATCTCTCTCTAAGGACAGATAAAAGCGTTTCAGGTCGGGGGAGGCGGGGAGCGGCATGGAAATAGGGCGGGGTGGGGAAAGGAGAGGAGAGGCGCCTTTGCCTGCATCTCTCTCTCTATCTCTCTCTCTTCTGGCAGACTCTGCATGTGCTGTGCAGGGAGATGTGTGTGACTGAGCCAGGCACTCGCGGCTCGCTGCTGCTGCTGCTGCTGCTGCGATGACTGCTTAAAGCAGGGCCTGCTTTCTGGGACTGGGAATCTACGCGCGTCTTTACGCAGCGCGAGCGGAGGTGCCATTGCCCGTCTGGCGCTTTGGAAATGGCTTCACTTCTCACTCCCTGCTCGGGGGCTACAAGCCCCTCTCCGCCAGTGCTACTTGCACCGTGGAGGTTGCACAACGCAGTTTACGCGCGCGGGGAGGGGGGGTGGCGAATGCTGCAAAGAGCAGGCTGCTCAAGCCTCGCTCCCTCTCTTCCTTTCCGAGCTGCTCTCTGTTTCCAGCAAATCCCCCTCTCCAACCGACGCGCGCTCCCGCTCGCCCTTTTCACACATAGCACATTTCTCCCGTCTTTCCCTTGCCCCTTCCCAGCTCTGGACAGCGCAGCGCAAGCGAACATGCGGCTTTCCTTTCCAATTTTAATGCACCCGTTTCATTTGAAGATGTGTCCAAACACAGCGAAAATGTACTCTGGGTTGTTTTTCAAACTTCCTACCGCTGCTGATGGCAATGGCAATGGCAAGCAGTATGCCCAGGGAAGCCCTCCATCCTGAAAGGTTCATAAACACCCTGTTCAGCTTCTCCCCATTCCCCTAACCTCTCAGCAGGCATTCAGAAAGGGGCATAAGGGACATTACCCTGTGAATTCCTGCTATAGAATTTGGACAGGGAGATTTTATATATTCTTCCCAGTGTAAAGTGCAAACATTACAGGCCCTCGTGATTATATGGGAAACAATGAATCTCACGGCAGAGAGCTGCGCTGTTTACTGATCAAATTAATAAATGCACTTCAACCGCTTGGCAGTTTATATTTAAACATTCAGCAGAGCTATGTCTGCCCCCACACTCCAAAAGGAACCAGGAGTCCTGCTGTTGCATAGTATGTTAAGGGCAAAAGGAAACAATATATACTATACTGTTCAATATAGTCCAGGATTGTTTAGAGGACAGTCTTCAGAGTGCATTTTAAAAAGGCATATTTCCTACAATGTGCCATACCTGCATGAGTTAGCATTTATTTTCTCCTTCACATATAAAAAAGGCAACATTTGTGTATGTTTGTGTGCTGGCGCGCCTGTGTGCGATACCTACGTGTATGTGCACTCCACACCCACACACCAACCACAACCAGCCATCATCACCATATTAACGTGTTTGCATTATACTTGTGTGTTTTCCAGGGTATCTAACCTGCATGCCTGTCACTACCCTGAAGGGCGAAATCTGTGGGGTTTTGTGGAGCGAGACATGTCTACTTTCCCAATGTCTACTTTCAATACTCGAAATTAGACTTGTCAACGGCTAAAGATGAATGCTGCCATATATACAGGCAAAAGGAAAGCAAAATAAAGTAATGGCAAGGCAAAGTCCCCGATTAATTGATTGAAATGATTCCTAGGTTGATGCTACCTATAAATGTTCCAAAAACAAAGCACCTTCACAACTGACGATGCACTCAAGCCACAACTGTTTTCATTCAGTGTTCTCCCTGTATTGTTAATTATGCATCGTGAAATGCCATAGTCAGGTAAACCATGCTTACGGCGTCAGTGTCATGTTATATAAGACGACACGAGAAGGCCATGCCTCTGTTTTTCCACAGACAGAACAAAATGGTGAGGATTCCTATGTACAGTGCAGCGAGCTGCGCTTTTTTTTTAACCAAATGAGACTGCATAGGTACCAGCGGCATTAGTGAGTTGAGCAGCAATATGTATAAAGACACACGTTTATTCTGATGGTCTGTAGAAGTCTAATGAGCTTCTTTGAATTGGCAGATACACAGAACAAAGCCCTGCCCCCCCCCCCACTTTATTTCGCAGTAGCTAGAGGCAGCAGTGCGAGTGATCGGGCATGTGCTATAACAGACCAGGCTTATGAGCTGATGCATTAAAATCAGAGACAAGAACATTCAGATAACGTGAGGTCTCTCTGGGCATGCTATACACATTGGCATATATACACGTGTGTACACACGCCTGAATGCGTTTAAAATGAAGTTGGCTAAGGAGGCAAGCCTTGGCTCTTATTTATTTTGACGCTGCCTTCAGGATCCATTGAATTCAGTGGGACTTCTGCTACTATTCACCTCCTGCACTTAAAAAGAGAATGACTTGCTTTCCTCTATCAGTTACCACGTAGATCAAGAAACACACCTGTGTCGTTTTGCAGATCGATAGCCTTTGGAGCCCTCATGACGTGAAAACAGCTAACGTCACAAGGATGACCTTGCTGATCATTAAACACAGAAAGGATCGCCCTCCCTGCTTCTCCTTTGCTTTGCAGGTGTCTAGGAAATCCACACGTTATTCTAAATATCTTCACATGGAAGAATTATCAGTTGCTTTCAATGGGATTTCCAATTACGTGTGTTTAAGACTAAGGTGTTGTTAAGGCAGCGTAGAAAACCCCTGACGTCTCTGAATGTCTACAGTGCCTATGAATCAATTGTTCTCTCCAGGTATTCTTTACAATTCCGTATGTCCGTAAAATAAACCGCATTTGGTTAAGCAGGAGATGCAGCCTTTGGCAATGCTAAACTGCCCACACCGCCATGTTGCTGGGTTTTGTTTTGTTTTTCATTATAGGCATTTCCAGTAAGTGGGTTAGCCTTATTTTAAAATAAAAATTCACCGAGAACGATGGAATCGCCATTTTAAAGCAATCTGCGTTATTTGAAAGATCCTGAACTCTAACTAGGCTCTCTAATAAATGGCCTGTAGATTTGGATGTGATTGCCATGCTTGTTTTCTAATCTCTTTATGGGTCTCCAGATGGTTGTGACGTAAAGGCGGAGAATCCTGCAAGGGGTTCCTTTGGAATAAACAAGCGCTGTTAACCTGAGAGTGGATCTTATCTGTTGCACCTCCTACGAACCAAAATTCTGCTTTCGGGACAAGTCCTCCGGTTTCATGGTAGGGAAGGGGGTGTCTATATAGGAAGCCCACTAGGCTCCCATGAAAGGATGCCCGTAATCCCGAGACTGAAGAGCACACACTCCAATCCCTGATTCTTCGATAATTCACTTACAGCTCAGTTCTGCACATGGCTACTAAAAAGTAAGTCCAATTGAATTCAATGGAACTTACTCCCAGGAAACTGGATTGCAGCCTTAAACGTAAACTGCAATCCTCTCTTTGGAGCCCCGTGTAAAGTCATTTTATTCCTCGAATCTGCATGCCCCAAGAAGTCTCGTTGTACCTGCTTGGCTTTTTATTGCAATCCTGATATTGGTTTCTGTACCTACTGTACCTTCCACAAACAATATATTTACGACCATATGTCTGCGGTATTGCCACACCTAATATCCAGGGCGCGAAAGGTAAAGGGTCTGAAAATGTCTCTCAGAGGCAAATGTTTTGCTATTTTTTTGTGCTGTTGCTTATTCGGCAGCCACGTACATTTCTTAATTTAATCATTAGGTTTAAAAGGGATTACCTTTATGTGCTGATTGTCACTCCATTTGATGGTCGCTTTCTGTCTGGCTCTGAAAAATAGACAAAAAGAGAGAGAGGCGAACGATCATTTAAAAATAAATATTTATGTTTATTCATGGATTGTGCTAGTGCATTCTGATTCAAGGCCTGTATAGCAGCAGCAGCAGCAGATCAGCCAATCCACTGAATCCTAGAGGCAAAATCCTCCAGGAAGTTCTCCTGCGCAACCCCCATGAAAATTAATGTGTTGGGGTAGGGCATTATCCTGCTGCCTGCACCATGGTCATGGGGGCTGCTCAGGAGAACTTCTTGATGGACTGTGACCCGTGGCTCCAAACTGCATTTTCCAAAGAGCTGCTAATATTATTTTCTTAAGATGAATCTATATACTGAACAGGAAAAGAACACCAGGGGTGTATGTTCTCTTCTGGTGTCAGAAGACTTAAATATTTCATTTTAGATATATATGTATATATCCTCAGTGGTAAACTGGGATAGAAAACCCAGAATATGAGAGAAGGGAGGCTGAATTTCTAAACTGAGATTATAAGAATAGCTTGATTTGTGGGGTGGGAGGCAGGGAAGGCAGAGGCGTCTGTATTTACATGCTGTAGGCTGCCAGTTGCTTAATAAAGGTCGGAGGCTCCACCTAGCCTCCACTTTCAAAATATGCAAAACGCTCTCTCTCTCTCTGGGTTTTCAAGCCTCGCAGGTTCAGATCGCGGCTGGCTTCATGGAGCTGCTTGGCTCTAAACAGACTCAGGCTGCTTACAGATTTACTCAAAGAAGAGCAGTGCTCGTGTATGTATTCCTTCTCGCCACCGCCACCCCCACTCCACCCCTCTTCTTTGCATCACAGGATGGTGTTAATCACCTCAGCCAAAAAGGGAGGGGGGAGAGAAAGGGGGTGTCTTAATGCTACTCCCAATCAATCACGTGTGTTTAAAAAATAAAAAAGGACGAGGAGAAGCACTATTTGCTCTTTCCCCTGAATATACTGGGTATCCTTCTTCAGTCTCCTCTGCCACCTTTTTTTTTTTTTTTTAAATGAGCCCTCTTGCATAAATACATGGTTCTCGACTTTGTTCCGCGCTGGAGCTGGCGAACTGGGTGTGCTTAGAGTGAGTAGCATTCAAGGTGGATGGGAGGAGAGAGCGTGAAGGCGAAACTCCACCGGCTTAATAGCAACCTGTGCTTTGGATGCTCCAAGACTCCGGCAGCTCAGCGAAGCCAGGCAATCTGGGAGTTAGGCCGATCTAGAACCCAACGCTAGCTGAACCGGCTCAAATCCAAGGGCGACATCGACTCCAAAACCTATCACCTAAGTCGGTCTACGACGCAAACCTGTGTGTGTGTCTGCTTAAGGCAAGCCCCATTGATTTACTCCCAAGTAAGCTTGTACAGGATTTGGGCCTTAAATGACTTGTGCATGGAGCTGTTCGCAACTCTCCCAAGCTATCACACTCCTCGCAGGCGCTCTCGAACCCACAACCTGAGCGTCTCATTCAGAACTAGCAAAACCAATGAAAACGTTGCCAACGACTTCTAATCTACACCTCGAAAGCTCCTTGCAAACAATGCCAAGGTAAATAAATCCACATACACTTGCGAGGCAAATTCACGTTGCCATAAATTTAATTACACTACTTTCTTTATAAATTTGGCAGTCCAAGTAGGGAATGAGTTTCAAATTAGGAATTCATTAGACATATTATTTCACCAGTCATGCCTATTTGAAGTTACAGAAAGAACTGCTTCTCTAGATGTAAGACACGACAACAACAGCTCTCCTCACTCTTTTCAACCCTCATGCAAGTAAATAGTATACCTTTCAATTGGTATAGCCACAAAAGTCCAAGTTGAGGGGATCAAAGGGAGGTGCTAGGTCGGGAAGTTTGGATCTAAATACATTGTGAGAAAACGCCTCCCTTGCACCCTTCTCTAAAATAAGCAAATGTGCAGCCAGAGTTACCAATTTCACCGAACACTTTCTCTTCCCATTTTTCACTGTTCTCTCTCTCTTCCTCCCCCCTCCTTCGCTGTCAATCTGTGTGCTAATTAATAGTCCCCTCGTCCCGAGGAAGTGCCTGCAACGCCAACAGGTTTCATATCACACGTCCAAAATCATCAGAAGCTCTCCGGTTAACCCATAAAGCTCTCCACTTCTGTTGATCTTCCTCCTAGGTTCCAGGGAAAGTCGATGGGAGCTCTAACAATGCAACCTGTTCAATGAAGCAACTATCTAACTCTTCCTCATTCTAGCCCTGAACCTGACACAGACACCGATAGAGTTCACGTTCAGAGTAACACACACACACACACACACACACACACACACACACACACACAGCTCATGAATCAGATGAACAACTGTAGCATAAAGTTCTCGCATAGTCCACACTTTCTCTCCCTTCCCCAGTTTCCCCACATTTAGTTTATAAAGAAGGCTAGTCGTGAGAAGTCGGCAGATATACTTACTTTTTCTGGTTTCTTCTCGTTCCAACAGATTGGGGGGGGGAGGGAGGGGGGGAGGACAGTCTGATCCTAGATCTTAGGTGAATGTGGTGGAATCTTCGGCAAGCAACAAGGATTCCTTAGCCAAAACTTTTAAATCGCAGAAAGCAGTTTCAAAGTCTCCCAAGATTCGGATCATCCCTTTCGTCATCTCTATTTATAACTGGCTTTTTAAAGTTCCATCGTAGAACACTTGCACGACTGGATTCTAAAATGGGTCCTTTTCCATCCAGAGGGGGGTGAGAATGAAGAGGGGATTTAAACAAACAGTTTTCTTTTCCCAATACAGCTTGCACAAAGCGCCAGAGTAGAAAGTGAAGTATTGTATGTGTGAGCCACTCTGCAAGTTTTTTTAAAAAACGGGGGCGGGGGGGTTGGCGAGGTCTAGCCCAGCCCTCTCTGGAAAGGAGGACGTGCTCTGAAATTCAACCAGTTTCCCCAACGCTTTTGTTTCTCGCGAACTGAAGCCCTATTGTTCGTCCATTGCCACGGTCTTTTTCAATCCCTGCTATACGTTATGCGTTGCCAGAGATAATGAATTTGCACCAAACCCTCTCCCAGCCCTTTTCTGACAGACGGAACAAATTAGAAATGTCTAGCCTAAACGGGAGCAATGGCTACATTTCCCTGTGGTGGAAGAGCAGGGAAATATGCATTTCTGCGTGGAATTCTTCTTTTCTTTTTTAAAAACTGCCTTTGCATCAAGAGCCCGCCTTTAAAAGCAAAACAAAAAACTTTTCACTTTCACGATTTTTCTTTTTAATGTTTCCTTCCGAAGAATAGAGTTGCTCTCTATGCCTTCCTTCCTGCCTGCCTTCCCTTCTCACTCCTTTTCTTTCTTTCTTCAATTCTTGAGGCAACCGAGCTATTGTGAGTTTAAGCTGTTGCCTTCTTCTCTGCAAAACACTCATGGCCATCTGAGTTTTTTGTAAACTTGCTCCGTGCTCTTCCGCGGTAGGTCAGGACTCTGTCGAACACTTGGGCTGCCTGGGCTGCTGGTACTTCAACATCGGCTTTCTTTTCCTTTTCTTAAACGCTTTTTAGGTAAAAGCCAACGGCACCAGGCTGCTCGAGTTGATGTCTTCGGCGCAGAAGGATCTGAAAGGGCACCCGTCCTCCTTGCTCACAGAGGCTGCCAAGAGAATGAGCCCTAGTTCGGTTCATTTGGAAGAACGCGGGTGCAGGTTGCGCCCTATACACGCAAGTTTCAGTGCAATAGGATGCGAGCGAGCGCGTGTGCGTCTGTGTCCTAGGACACGGGTGTAGGGCTGCGCAACGGAGAAGGCTAGCCCCTTGTGTGATTTCGGGTGCTCAGAGTGCATACAGGAATACTGACTTGTGAGTATGGCCAGGGTGTGCTGGGGCGTTGCTAAGGATTCCGCGCCTTGGGAGAGAAGCGCTTCGGTTGGTGCGTCTCCTTCCCGACGAGGTTTGCATGTGGACACGTTTCCCCAGCAGCAGGGCTGCGTCTGAGAGGCCGTTGGGTGTCGCTTGTAGGTGTGTCGCGAGATGTCCACAGCTGCGTGTTGGAGACATGTGTCTGGGATAGAGAGGGGGGAAGCTTGCAGGGGTGGAGCCAGGCGAAGGGAGGGGGCACAGATTCAAATGAGCATCTCGTATGGAAATGTGGGCTGCCGGGAGGTGGGGCGGGGGGGGGACGGGGAAGCCGTTAATGAGAAACCCAAGGAGGGAGAGGCGCCGTCTGAAAGCACAGACCTTTCTGCTCTGGCAGCAACTTTCCCGCCAAATGTAGCCTAAGGAGAGGCTGTCACTCGTGTTCTCGTCAATGGCTGCCATTGCCTCCTCTTTACACACCCACCACGGCAGGAGTATTCTGGCTGTTGCTTAGCTGCCTGCCCCAGCCTAATAAAGAGCGGAGAAAGAACACATTATTCGGGGGATAGATATAGATATATCTGTATCTTGCACAGGGGCACCTCTCTCTGTAGCAAGCAGAGACAGAATGTTCCATGGGCTACGTATTGCTCTCCTGCACAATACGGAGCCCAAATAGCTTCTAACTGTCAAGGCTGCCTCGATATTTTAATACAGGTGAATCACTGGATGGAGGATTAAGGGGAAGGCGCTCGTTTGCCTCTTCGGCTGTCTTATACCTTTCCAAAAGGCCCTGGCAGAATCGGAAGCGAATGCCATGGTGGACCACGTCGAAAGGATGGTTTGCGGGTTGGATGGTGGAAAGGGAGCCAGGTGACGCTGACTGAAGAGGGTCTTCATCCCCTCTCTCAAAAAAACCCAAAGCTGGATAGGCTCCAAGTATAGGGCCATCCTCGAGAAAACTCGACCTAGCGCTTGCGAATCAAATAATACTATTGTTGTGTTTAACAAGAACGAGAAGGGATGACAGGCGAGGGGACGGGGAAAGCAAGATTTCCAGACATCCTTCTCACCTCCACCACGCCGCACACCACTTCTTTAGCTCCTTTTTCTTCCAAAAAATAAAAAAGTCCAGTGCAGAATTGACTGCAGGAATCCGGGTTATCCTTACATTCAGTCTCTGGCTGCAAACCAGAATACAGTAAAGCCAAAAGAAGACCATGTTCAAGGTTGACTTCGGCATCTGAGCCCGCAGAAAAACTGTATGATGATCAGGTTGAATTGCCAAAGGTTACAAGTTCACAGGTGATCTAGCTACACCCCTGTGCTTTTCTTAGTCGTCCTCGCCTTTCTCTTTTCCTTCCTTCATACATATAGGGGCCATGAATGTCTCCTCTCTCCCTCTTCTCTTTCACACTCTTTCTTCCTCCTCCTCCTCTTTGTGTACATACGTGCCATCGGCATTCCCTTCACACTGCAAAACAACACCACTGTACTACGCAACACACGTAAGCTGGCGTGGTGAGTGGCACATACATAGCTGGCTATGGTCCTTCTCTGAAGCCCCTGATCTTCTGGAGAGGAGAAGCAGTCGCTGCACCCCCACTTTTGTATCACCACTTCAGAGAGCTGTGCATTGGGAGGATGAGGAGAGAAAAATAGGTCTACTGGGGACATCTCCCCTACATGCATGCACACACACACACGTTGCATTTGCTTTCTTGTTATCAAGAGAGGGAATATATTGGGAGGCGGAGGGGTTATGCAAATGTTTATTTTGTTAGAGGGAGATGCTGCCAGGCTCGCACAGTGCTGTACAAGGAGGCAGAGAGAGCTGGCGATATCTGACTAGGAGTCTTCGCCGGGTCTTCGGCTGTCTCTTTGCATCTTCCGGTCGTCTCCGCCGTTTCTGTTTGCACAGAAACGCATCTCGCATCTCCCTCCCTCTCCCTCCCTCTCTCTCTCTCTCTCTCTCTCTCTCTGTCTCCCTCCTCCTCCTCCTCTCTCCCCCGTTTCTGTCGCTCTCCTCCCTCCTTCTCCGCTTTCCCTCATCCCAGCTTCACGTTCAAGGTTTAGCAGCGAGGTCGCGTCCATTGACGTCAGCTCGAGTCTTACTGTACGTCCGGCTACATTTACATACATCAAGGAAATTAGGGCATTAAAAAAATATGCAAATCCTGCCGCTTGAAGAAGAGACTGTAGATTCCCGGAGCGATCGCCTCCTTTCATTGAAGATTTTAATTAAAGGAACGCAAAAAAAGAAGAAGATGATGAAGAAGGGCGGGGGTGGGAGAGAGAAAAAGCTGAGCTCACCAAAGCAAGCCTTTCGTCCTAAAACAACAGCAGCAGCAGCAGCAACTGCCCCCCTCTCCAAAAAAACCAAACCAAACCAAACAAGCAAAAGCCCAAATGGCCAAGATCTGCTAAAACATGGGGGGATGAGATTCCTGCCGATCGGCTCCTGGCGCCAACCGAGGGAGCCGGCCTGCGCGCAGCGCTGCTGGGAGAAGAAGCCGCAGAAGCCGAGCAGGTTACCCGGAGGCTCCGGCACAGCCCAGACGTCTCTCTCTCTCTGCATAATCAACGCTGCGCCATTCTGCTCTCCTCCTCCTCCTGCTGCTGCTCCGGTTGGCTCCAGCGGGTATTATTTTTCATACTGATGCATATGTAAAGGTAGATTTGCATTTTTAAAACATTTACTGGAAGTTACGGTCTTTGGATTGCCTTTCTCTCTCTTTTCTTTTCTTTATAGAAACAAAACATTTTTTAAAAATAATATTTTTTGTTTGTTTATGGTTTGGCAATACCTCTTTTCTGCCGTGTCGCTGCTCTATAGATGCAATTTTGCTCCCTGCTTCTTCCTTTTCCGTAGGGCTTACAAAATATGTACCGACATTGTTCCTAACGCAATTTTTTTCAAGCGTCAGGAGCCTCTTTAAAAAATAAAAAAGAGGAGAGGTCGGTTGGTTGGATTTCTATATTAAAAAATATAATATATACTTGCATGTTATGTTGATCGACGATAATGGCAGCAACCGGAGATTCAAAAGTTTGATTAGTAACCTCATCATGAGCAATATAATAAAATAGAGGGCGGAGCAAAACCGAAGCTTGCATAATAGGGACAGTTTAAAGTGCTGTAGGCTGCCTTGTATGAACATTTATTTCTGCTTTGGCTCCGGGAACCTTTAATTTTCAAATACGCTCTTAAAAAATGTGCCCAGACCCAGGTGAGGGAGAGCTTTATCTAAGGAAGACATTTTCAACCATGTTGTATGTTCTATCTTAGCTGCGGTACATTAGTAATGTATTGCATTTCGTTTAAAACTTGCTTGGCTTAAAGCCAAGCACCGCTTTACTGAGCGACAATGCATTTGATATGCTGTTTCAAATCAGTGTCTATTATGCGAATGCTTTTCTGTTTGCTCGAAAGCCGAGGGGCCTAGATCTACCTTAAAATATTAGGTTATTTCAGAGATATTTTATTTGGGGTTCGGTGTTTTTTGTTTTTAAATAGTTCGATCCTGTTTACAAATAAAACATTTCCTTCACCCTCTCCCTGTAATCTATATACGTCTTTAAAATAACGCAGGGTTCACACCCAAAAGAACAATGAACGCACACTTACATCACATACCTATTTAAAGCCAAGTAAGCCAAAGCACATGCATAGGTAATTAGGCACAGCATGAATGACTTACCTGCACACAGGCATAGGGTGAAAGTTAACTCTCCTCAAAGCCAGCCATGCATATGTTTTGAGAAAGGCTCAGGAGAGCAATTTTTCGTTTTTGTGGTATGCAGCATCTATTTCCCCGAGCTGCTCACTTTAGTTCTTTGAGCAGTCTTATGGCATGTTCAGCCCTACCTCCATCTCCAGTTTTACGTGCCCTACACTAAAGTGCTCATATGATATGTCACCCAATAAAAAGTGGTCAGATGGCGACACGTAAAACATTAAAGGGGGGCACCAGACACTCTTCCTCCATTAGGTTAGTTCTTACCTATATATATACATAGAGAGAGCGCGCAACAATACATTTAGGTGAGTATGCTCGCCACATGCCATATATATATGCCATATATATATATATACTCAGCTATATATAGAGAGAGCCTATATATATATGGCTCCAGCAACAGCACCGACTGCCAGTCGACTTGGCCATTTACATAGAACATTGGGGACACCTCGCTGATTGAGACAATCCCAACCTCCTCGAGTGACTAATTAAACCACGTGAACCATCTGAGCTGGCTATAGCTCTAGTCCTGCAGAGATCTAAAGAGGATCGCCGCACACGAAGGATACATACGGGGAGTAAAATATGTGTCCATTCAAGGAGCAGATCTGTTATCGCAGGCATCTGCTTGGGCGTCTACCCCATGCCTACAAGTGCTCTCTCTTTCTCTCTCTCACTCGCACACACATACACACACCTCGATCTAGGTGTCGTTATCATGCTTAAGTCCCTACCGAGGTCCATGCGATGTCTTGCTTCCTGCTAACCCCAGCTCTCTCCCGTTCCCGCTGGCTCCTGCTACCCTGGGGTCGACGGCTCTGTGGATGCTGTCGCTGCAAGAAAGGTGCAGAGTGGCGTCCGCTGCCTTCGGTGCCCGTGCTCTGTCCGAGCTTAGCTACTAGCTGCTAGTCGGGAACCCACTCCAACACACAAGCACACACACACAGGCACACACGCGCGCGCCCCACACACCTCCGCCCCCTGCCCTGCTAAAATTACCATATGGAGGCCGAGTCCCTGCGAATCGCAGCACCAGCGGGCGGCGTTTGAATGAGCCTCGCAATCTGCACAAATCCCAACTCCTTCGCACGCTGCTCTCGCTGTGAAGGCCACTTCCACGGCCCTCCTGCATCTCGCAGCCCCTCCCCTCTTCTCCTCGTCTCCCTCTTCGCCCCCACCCACCCCATCCCACCCCACCCACAGCACCTCAAGTGCCTGGGCCCCAGGGAGATCAAGGGACAGCTGCCTCGTCTTGTGCCACATGCCACGAAAACGCGAACCATGACGGCGCGAACAATAAGTAGCGAGTCGCCCACGACCACCATTATATCGTATCGCACATTGCTCTGGTTTAGGATTGCACCCCAAATACACAGCGATGCGATGCCCATGGGTAAACGTTAGATAACGACCGCCCCATTCATAATAACCCCTCGTGCCAAGTCTTATATAGCCAAGGACCACTTTTTTCATAATTTAAGCACTGGGTCAGAAAAACAGAAAATGCTCCAAATAATATTTTCTCCGTTTCAATTTAGTGGGATCTCTAAAACCAAAAAGCAAATCCATTGCTTTTATCTTTCTCGAGGTCCTCCGCCCTTTAAACCTGCAATACGTATTCGCAAGACACGTTCGATATGATGAGACACGTATAGAAACACTTCACGTATGAAAACGTGCAATTTTTAGGATTCTTTAGATTTTGCAAAGTGGGAGGGTGTGGTATATAGATCTGGAAGCAGAACTTTAAAAACAACAACAACAACCACAACCACAGCACATTCGTAGCTCACAGCGATGTTTGCATGCTTTTAAGAACAATTTCCACTGAAATGAGATACATTCCGAATGAAAATGCACTATGCCAATCATCTCCAATTTAGCTTAACATTTCTCTCACGAATCCTCCCCCACCCCCCTTTTCAATTCATAAATTGAGATCGAGTCTTGTGTAAAAGGCACGGTTAAAACACCTCGTGGGGGGATAAGAATTCTTCCTGAAAGATTACAAAATAAATAAAATCCCAGCCCAGTCTCCTGTTTATTAATAATCTCGTGCATGACATCTCAAGGCAGGAGGCAAGAGGAGATGGGGGTAGAGCTTTTAATAGTCTGGAAATGAATATGGATTTCAGATAATTGAGAACTAGTTTTCCGTAGAGGATGAGGACTGGGGAAAGGTGTGGGTGGGTGTGTGGGTGTAGATGTGGGCAAAGCTCTTTGTTATAAAAGCATTTAGGTGAGTCAATAACACTGAGAGCATTCAACACGGTTAAGGTCAGGCTCACATGCGTAAAGTAGCCAACGCGGATTTGATTGCAGCCCAACATTTCCAGAAGAAGCGTCAGCCCACATATTCCCCCAGTAGCAGAGTAGTTTTATTTTCTGAATCTGGGTAGGGTTTTTTTATTATGGTTACTTCTCCCTAATTCAGCACCGGGTTTTTTAATTTAAAAAATTCTAAAATCTGATGTGATCTGTTATTTCCTTGGTTTCTCATAAGGCCCTTTTCTCTCTCTTACCAATTGGATGGTTGGCTGGAAGGAGGCAGCGATTATATTGTGCAGAGACCAAGTTAAAATCTGGATGTAGATGGCGCACGGGGTGGGGGCGGACGGTGATCCCCGACACTGGATTTCTCTCGCTCGGCCCATCCATTGCTTGTGCCCATTTAAGGAGAGGAAGAGGCCTTCCAGAAAATGCCTCAGCTAAACGGACACAACTTTCGCGCGCCCCGTCCTGGTAGGATGGTCAAGTGCGAGAGGTGAGCCAGTGCTGTCTGTCACTTTGAGGCTATTTGCAGCCTTAATGGATCCCTGGAGGGAAAGGACCAGGCAGAGCATTCCTTGCCCCTGAATGGCTCTTGGCTACCCTATTCTGGCCAGCGGGGGGACAGCGACACCTACTGGCTGCCCACACAAATCCAAAGGGTGGTGGGAAGGATGGAGGGGGCGAGTGTATTTGAATAAAAGAAGCGTTTAAACAGCTAAGATCGCGCTAGTCTCCCTGATATAACATCTTCAACAAAGAGGGGGGAAAGTGGGGGTGGGGAACCCAGCACTTGTATTTAACACCTTCGCAACTAGATTTCAGCCACTCTTAAAATTCCAGGAAACACAGCCCTAGCACAATCATCCAAATAGATAGCATAGATAGAGAGATATAACCACAAATAACCACCAACGCTCAGGGAGACTCAATGGACTGTAATCGTGCAATACTGGGTCTTCCAGAACTAGTCTTCTCTGGGGAAGCAAGTAAACGAATCAAAACTCCAAGCTAGACCACTGAACGCTGACAATCCTCTTCTTTAAACGATAATCAGAAAGGATTAGGTTAATCCGAAATTAGAAAGCAATTAGAAATCCTTAACTGGGCTCTCTTACGAAGGCAGGAAAGGACGCCGTGGATGCGCAGAGCCGGGAGCACTGACTGCCCACAGAGCTCGCCTGCCTCGCTCCTTCCCCGTCGCCAGGCCCGCGATCTGGCCAGGTAGACCCTCTGCCGCTGCTCCAGATGGCTGGGGAAGGGGGGGGGGAGGGAGGAGCGACTTTCCCCTTTAAAAATATATTTCCCCTGAGGGCTTTTTGAATGTATGATGACTTCTTAGCTCGCTGACAGAGGCGGCACTGTTTCACTAGGCCGAGGAAGGTAGCATTAAGGGACAGTATCTTCCCGCTCTCTGCTAGGAGGCAACTTCGAGGTTCCCTCATTGGATCTTTTTGAGCGCCCCACCACCACCCCGAAAAAAAAGGGTCGAGCTCGTCTTTGAAAGGGGAATCCTTAATTTTAGGGACAGAAAGAGCAGCGAAGTAATTGGGTAGACAAAAGGAGGCTTATAATAATACACAGGACTTGCAGCAGGTAGCTGAGTACCTATGCTTGGAACAAGAAGCCATTTCGCTCGTATCTTTATTTCAGCAGTTAATTAAGCGTGTGCGTGTGTTTAAGAGAGAGCGAGAGAGAGAAAGTATATATTATGTCTTGGACACCTATTCATAAATAAATCTTTTTCATTTATTCTTTCCTTTTTTACACCTAGGGCCATTAAAATAAATAAATAAAAGAAACAGGGATAGGAGAAAATTAAGTTTTCTTGCAGCCGCAGCGAGCTGGGTGGGTCAATTTTTATTTTGATTTTGATTTGCGGTTCTTCTTGTTGTTTGTTCTTGCATGTCAAAGGCTGGAGTCCTCGGCAGTCTTACTAGGAAGTAAGTACCACTGAAAGTGGTCCAATGTACTTCCGAGGAAACACGCGCAGCGTTGCGGCACATGTATTTAAACGTGGATTTCTCCACCCGTTATACGACACTGAATTTCCTAGAATAAGGCTAGGGCGTCATTTAACCGCAATTCTCCAAGGCAGATGTAGTGCCAATACGTGCTTTTACTCCCTTCTGGACATACCTAAACACACTGACTTGGCCCGCGCGGGGGGGAAAGAAATGAAAACGGTTGCAGTTGTTCTCGGCCTGGTCCACAACACAGTCCCAAGCAATTCTATGCACTGGAGCTGATCAAGTCTGGTGTCTGCCATAGAGCGCAAACTGATTTAAATGCAACAATTTCGGCTTAGCTTGGTTGTGTGGATCAGACTGACTCAGTCCTTTCCTTCCCCTCCTTTCTAGTAAGTGTAGAAAACTGCTGTTGCTATGCTTGCTTTTAAAACAAAATAACAATGGCAATGGCAATATCATTCGGGAATTAGAGAATGCAGTTATTGTAATATGCTATACACACATTAAATTAAAAACCCACTTGCGAATGTTTAAAATAAAAGACTGGTCTTTCCCTCACATTTTAGGTATTTTAGCACTACCAGATTGCAACTCCTTTCTTAATTGCTTGCACGAATCCTTAAACGGAGAGAACGGTTTCCAGACAATTTATACATTTCCTCTCTTGTTTTTAAGATACAGATTGAACAAGGAAACGCAGGTTAGTCAGTGGCACTACGAATCGGCCTGACCTTTTGTCCTAAAATGTCATCTTCAAAATCCACTCCCCCCGCCCCGACCCCAATCTGGTCGTCTTCTGTCCACGCTTTTTGAGTGCTAATCAATGAAAGGAAACAAGCCGATTAGTCCAGAGCTGACAGTGACTGCTGGCGCTAGTTCTGGAGATGCGGTGGGCCTATTGCATAACTCCCTGGGAGTGGCCGGCTCTGCAGCCATTTTCAAAAGGTTCCCCCTCCCCTCCCCAGACTCATTAAAACATCTTTGCACAGTCCGCCCCAGAAAAAAAAAGTCAATTCCCAGGCTAAATTCTGCCAACAAAATTTGGCACACCAATCTACTTATCACCTAATCCAGAATACTTGAGGCTGCATCCCGATCGCAAGCACGCCCATTTGGAAGTAAATTCCCTTAAAGGTCAACCGGGCCTCTGATTGGTATTACAGCATTATAGTAACTATTAAATTTGTTTGGCCTGGCATCTGGGAGCACATTTTCTGACAAGTTCAGCTGGAAGTGTATCAGCCACTGCCGAATATGTTTGGAGCTGCACTTAAACGAAAATAAAGACAGAACTCCTAAACTGAGGCCTTTGGTTAACTGGCCTGTGGATCGCAGTCTTCCACAGCCCAGTTAAGACAAAACAATTTGATTTCTCCGCCAATCATCATCCCTTAGGAGATCCACAGGACTATCAACAAAGCAGAAAACAGAAAAGAATTAATATTTAGAATTAATATGGAGCAGAGGGATCAGTCCGGCTTAAAGCTAATATCTGAACTGAGGATAGATTTATAATAGTATATTTTATGCAAGAGCTAATGCGGGGTGGTTCAATGGAACCCGCTTGGCGGCCAGCTCTCTTTGCTCAAGAGTTTCCAAGAGCTGGATGAAGCTGGAGGCCTTTGGTAATGGTTTGTCTGCTTGCTCCCAGTGCCAGGCCCCGCTGGTGGGGAAGCCAGGACCCAAACCAGGCGAGAACTGGTCTCCTTTTCCAGGAAGCCAATTGTCTTCACACCTGTGAGCCAACAAGTGCCAACCTTTCCAGCGTCACAGCAAACGACATTCCCCCCGCAAACAACACGCCCTGAGAAATAGCCTCCTCCTCCTCCTGTTTCTTTCTTTTTAAAATAAAGAAAGAAATTGGTCTCGAACACCGCCTGGCCTTTTCGAAGGGCTGTCATGCCACCTCAGATCCCCCTGCCTCGGGGGTAAGTGCGTCACTTCCATCCCTGACCCCAGAAATGGCAATAAATGCCCACAGAAATTCCCAAAAGGCCACGGGAGTTCAATTTGGTAGAGTTTTTTTGTTTTAACCCTATAGGTAGGTTGCCACCTGATGATCGAACTTCGGGATCTATTTGTATTCGCGTTAGCACGAGTATTTATCCCCTCCCTCTTCTGCAGAAACAGCTTCGTTAACAGCAAAGAAATGGAAAGGCGCTCACATTCGCTCGGGAAGAATCGAATAATAATAGTACAGTAATGGTAAAATAATGTCAGCCAGCTAGTCCTCAGCGTTCTAAAGTCCCCGCCCCCTCGGGGATTCTAGAGCGGCTGAGCGGAGCTCTTGCCTCAAGGGTGCAAAGCGCGGGAAGGAAAGGAGCGGGAGATGGCGACCCGCCGCTACTCCGCTTTGCCCCTCTTCTCCGGCGCTGCTGAAATAGTCGGCGTCCCGTCGCCGCCGCTCCCTCTCTCCCTTCTATCTCACCCTCACGAGTTTCCCCTCAGGAGCCTGGAGAAGGACGCCGAGTCTTGCTCGGGCTGGCGCCACAGCAGGGCGAAAGGGTGCGCTTCCCGCCTCCGCTCGCTCTCCCTCCAGCTCCCCGTAACTCACCTCAGCAGCGGCCCTATGAGCGGCGCAGGCGTCGGCCAAGGCGCTCTCCCGAGCTGGCGGCCTTCGCAGGCGTCTCCTCAGCGCCTCTCTCGACGGCACCCCGCCCCCCTGCGCTTATACTTGTGACTGACTTTTGCGAACCGAGCGCTGTTCATTCAGCGCGAGCCAAGAGCCCGTGTGCGTGTGTGTGTGCGCGCGCGCGCCTGAAAGAGAGCGAGGTGGAGCGGCTAGGGGAGGTGGCTTTGGGGCTGCCCCTTAACTGGGCTGCTGGGACGCGACGCCCCCTCCGTAGCCCCCCTCCCCTCCAGGACCAAATAGCTCTCGCGGAAGGGCGGGGCGGGGTGGGGGAGAGAGGGGAAACCGGGCAAGGCGCCTCAGCCGGCCAATTTTAACGCAGGCGCGAGGATTCGGGAAGCCACGGGAAGCATCCGGTCCTGTTTGACGAAACCTCAAAGCACCAGCGCCTAGTGCCAGAAGGGGCTGTGACACATGTCCTTCGTGGAAGTCGGCTGCTCAAGTCCCACTGAAATAACGGGACTTACTGTCAAGTCAACGTATTTGGGATTGGGGGCCTTTAAAATGGAGGTCAGGCTGGCAGCAGGCAGTGGCGGGCTCTTCCCGCCAACAGCTCGCCTTCCGGCCCTTGTTTTTCCCACGATGCGTCCTGCGTTCTCAGGCAGCTTTCCTCAGTGAGGCGCGCCAAGAAACCCTTCGGACAGATTCGATTCCTTTTCCTCCCTACACCACAGCTTCCTATTTCAGTCTCTACCTTGTTTTTCTTTTTCAGGAAGTTTTTTTTTATAAGAACAACCCCCCTCCATCTTTTTAGACTCGGTCTCTTCCCTCAGGCCAAATTGCCGAAAACTCTCCCTGTTAGTCTGTGTGAGCGAAACCAACGGGAATCCGCCTCAGGGACCAAACCAGCCTGGCGTCGCGTTTCTCATTCCCTCAGGGTTTCTTCTCCACTACAGGCGAGGCTGCTTCGAATCTGAGGGCGGCGTCGCGCAGCTCCTGCCTAGACTCGCGTCTCCCGCCTTCTCCACACACACCTTCGCCTCCATTTCCTGCCCATGCCGACGTTTCCCCTGGGCGAGCTCTCTCTTTCTCTCAGCCTGGGGATCTTTATCGCCTGAAGAACTGGGTTCGAGAGAAGGGATCCTCGCCTGAGTAGCGAACGTGTAGTAATAATATGCACAGTCGTGTTGCGGGAGATAGCCTAGTCGTCCCCCACTCCTAGCTCATTTCAGCCCCGGATTTATTTTGCGCATAAACTAGATTCCTTTCTCGTTCCAGAGCAGACAACCTGCCGAGAGACATTCCCCGAGCCGCCTGCTTCAAGGAGCGCGCGTTTTTCAGACTCCCCCCCCCCCCGTGTCCCCCAGACTTGCTCTGGACCTGTTTTAGGTAGGAGGGTCTTCGGGCGAGTCTGTGAGCCCTGAGAAGACCCATTCGCCACCTTTCTTCTCTATCCTGGAGGGAACCAAATGGGTGGCGGGGGAGGGGGGAGAGAGATGAATGGGTTTCTCCCAATTTTAACCCGGGAACAGCCTCAGAAGCGGGAGACTGGTTTCTCGCGGATGTGGCCAGTTCAACTTGAGGGCCGGATCGGAGCCTGAAGGATGAAGGAAACCATCGCTTCGAAGGCTGGCGTTGTGCTCCTAACATGTCCGCTTAGTAGCGCCCTTCTCCTTCCCATGGATGTAGCCAATCAAATAAATCAATTAAAAACTAACTAACTAACTGAGGTTCTCCCCCCCCCCCAACAAAGAGCCTAGCTACGCCTATGCTCCTTCCACTGCCTCGATTGCTGCATCCTTGAAAGAGGAATGTGGCATTAAACTCGAGAAGTTCACCTAGGATCGCAGAATTAGCCGTTTCCCTGAAAGGAAAGGTGTGTACGCAAGACAAATGTCAAAGATTCGCACTGTATCCTAAGGATTTCTTGTGCGCACAGGTTGATCTCTGAATGGAATTTCGTTTTCTCTCTTCCTCTCTCTCACAGACTTTTAGAAAGCAGGCACAAAAGCCTCGCCATTGTAGACACGCTAATTGCCCTTTTGATTTTCTGCATGAACTGAAAGTGAGCGGTGCTTCTACAGAAGACTAATAGGCATTAAAAAAAAAAAAAAAATACCTGCGCGCGCGCGCACACACAACACGGTACAGCTTACATTAGTTGACTCAGGCCTCCTTGAAAATAACCCCCTTTCTGCAGTTGTAATTGTTACATCTACAGCAGTCTGTCCACAGTTTACACAAGATCCGATGCAGCGGGATAATCCTCTCCTCTTTTAATGCAAACTCTGCCCCAGTATGATTGGGCAGATAATATTTAACTGGTGCGCCGAGCACAAGGGGGAGACGGTGGCTGGCATGAAGTTATGTAAGCGGTATTATGTGCCGGAGCGAGGGCTGCGTAAATAGAGATGTGAACACGTGCATGATGGGAGATATGACGATGTGCTTTACATTCAAATTCTAAACATATTTACACGGGTGGGGTGGGGTTTAAATGGATTTTACTTTCAGGCAAACGTGCGTAGAATTGCAGCTTTAGTATTTCCGTCGTCTTGGATTGAGTTAGTGAATTCGCCTGCCTCAAATTATAGAGTGGCATTTACAAGACACTGTATTGAAGAACTTCGTCCCTGGTCCTAAACGCAAGGCTTGGAAGTAAGTGTTAAATCAATGCGACTTCCAAGTTGTGTGTATAAAGACAGAATTGTTAAAGTCGAGAGAAATAAAATGTGTTTTCTTTTTATAAATGCCGTGAAACAAAATGGCTTTTTACTAGGAAGTCTCACAGACATATTTTAACAGAGACCATTTATAACAAACACGTGATTGGCACTTCCATCCTAAACACAGCTGGAAGTAATTCCTATTGATCTCAAGTACGTAGTTGTAATATAATATTATTTATTACGCCTATGAAATCTATTATTTATAAGCCCTCAAGGCACTTCATTTATTTTATCTGGTCAGTTAATCACATTTTAAGTCCCATTGATTTCAATGGGATGGATGTTCAGCCCGATCCTATGGTTGCTTACTCTGAAGTAAGTTCTATTGTCTTCACTGAGGCTTATTCCTAAATGTACACAGGATTCCCGTTTATTGGGAATAAGTTCCATTGAACTGAATGGGACTTCAGAGCAGACATCCAGCCATAGGATCTCTCTATCAGGCATATGTTGTAATAACTCAATAATCTTTTACTAAAACATAAAACTCCCCTATAACCTTATACAGTTGTTTCTTAGTGCCGTGGTCCTAACACGTTCCAGATATCCCCCTACCCTATTTTATTCGTTTTATACCACTGATATGTCAAACTTGCGCTGCAGTTCTATTACCTGTGAGTAAACCCACTGGCTACAATGGCACTTTTACTTCCAAGTAAACACTCGTTGCATTGTGCAGTAATCCAAAAGCCAACTAGCTCTTTTTTAAAGGAAGCTGCAGCTGCATTATTTCTCCAGCATTGCCTGGGAGCCGGCTGAGCTTAACAAGTGCAATCTGATTCTATCTATGGATATCTGATGCCAGCCCCAAGCAAATTGTCCATCGCCATATTGGCTTACCTAGGGCTGCTCCAAATGAGTTAATGCCTGAATGAAAACCGGGAACCAACACGCCCCGCTTTAACCAGCAGGTTAAAACTACCGCGTAAGTGCTATTCAGACGATGACTAATCAGAACGCCTTCCAGGTAATGGCGCTTGAAGGATGGCGCGCTTTCGGTGCGCTATCTAGAGTGCATCCTGCAAATCCGAATTCTTGTTGTTACTCAGCTACAGAATAGAGTGGTTCGCCTCATTCAATCCGATATACAGCAAACCAGTTAAACCTAACCCTTCCTTTTAATCAGATTAGCACCTTAATCCTAGATGTATTTGTTTAGTGGAGAGTTAGGCGGATTTGAGAAGCAGTTACTTGCAAGTAATCATATTTAGGACTCTGGAACGTGGTTGGGGCAGGAGGCGGAATTTAAAACCAGATTTGGGAGAGGGTGTAAAGTTCTAGTCCTCAATGCATTACTTGGAAATTAATCCAGTGTCAAGACAATCTCCTTTTAAATACAGTGGTACCTCAGGTTACATACGCTTCAGGTTACATACGCTTCAGGTTACAGACTCCGCTAACCCAGAAATATTACCTCGGGTTAAGAACTTTGCTTCAGGATGAGAACAGAAATCGCGTGGTGGCGGCGCGGCAGCAGCGGGAGGC